AAGTTCCCACTGGGAACCTGCCATCCTGATAGTTTAACAGTGGATACACCTACACAGGACAGGACAATGTTACTACACCAGTAACATCTTTAAAGGAAATATATTTTCTGAGATTCTCCTGCTGTGCTAAAACCCTAGTACTACAAGGTTATAATGTGTCCTTAATGAGAGATAACAGTCAGAAACAGTCAGCTCCCAGCATCTTTTAGAAAAGATTTTAAGATTTTTTTTATTTTTGACCCATTTAATGGTTTGGGACCGGCCTCTATTGCAGACTTTATAGTTTTATAGTCCCTCACAAGCAATCAAATCTTTTCTGCTGGGATTCAAAATATACACACTTACATGCAAAAGAAAAAGGCATTGCAGCTTTTATTAACTATTCTCTAAAATTATGGAATATCCTTCCAAAAGCTATGAGATGCGAGCTTGGTGAACATTTTTAAGTGACAGCTGAAACCCTATTCATTTAGTCTGGCTTTTATTTAACGTAGTTCTTCTTATCATTTTCTGTTAATTTTTGCTATTCTTGCTGCTCTCTGTGCTTTTTTCGTTCGCTTTTATATTTCGTTCGTATCAACTGTCTTTTTATTGTCTCATCTCATTGTCCTTTAAGCTTTTGTGTTGCATCTTCTAATAGGGATTTTCTCTCAGTGTTTTTAAGGATTTATGTTTCTACATTTTGGGGCCAAATTGAACAATGTGTTTATACATCTAGTTCGACTATATTACACTTCTTGACATAAAATGTATTCCGTGCAGGAAGACAGCAAACCACCAAACATGAACAGACAGAGCCTCGGTGGATGTCGCCGTACAGGTCACAAGACTTGCAGCTCAGCAGAGTTGAGCTAAGTAGCTGCCAACAGTGACAGCTCAGTTGTTTACATCCTACAGACTGGAGCTCGATTGTTTATCTCCCACTAGAGGGTTTCTAGATTTCTCAGTTAGCACATCTCGTGCATATACAAATTAACCGTAGTTAATGTTACATACAAACGGAGATGGCACATTAACGTTGCATTTTTATGCTAGCTAGCACTGTAGACATACAGAAACCGTTAAGACGAAAGCGGAAGTGAGATAAGCTAGTTTGGCTAAAGCTACTGGTCTTAATAAAACGGATACATTGAACAACAACATACCTCAGTGGCATTACTTCAGGTGAATCGGTATAGTGCAAGCTCCAGCTAGCTTGGTTGAGTAAGCTAGCTCTTCATGGGCTGTTAGTAGACCAGTGGGGCGGTTCTACCAAGGTTAATAGTTAACGTTAGCTAGCAGAGTGGGCGAGGTTGTGAATTTATCTAACGTTAATTCAGTGAGAAACCGACAGTGAACTATTAGTTTTTGCCTCCCTGGCCTCGTTTCAGCCACGTCCCAGCGCTGGCCACCGTCCCACAGCTAGTCACTGGCGTGTCAAACTCGACAGGAGCACAAAATAATAGCTAATGTAGCAGCTGTTGCTGAAGCAACAACAAACTAGCTAGTTAGCCATCAGCGGCGGAACTTTAACGACACTTCCGGTTTGACTTTTCAAAATAAAGGGGACACACTAATGGTGAAAACGTACTATAATTATTTTGTTTCCATAACATGTCTGTCAGACTAGTGGAAGAAAATGTCCAAAATACACATTTAGGTGTTTATTTTAGCTCAGATTTCTGTTCTGGAATTTTAAACAAAAAGTGCACATTTAATGCCTTATTTACATACCAGTAAAGCTTGTAATACAAAAACAACTTTCATGGTGATATCTGTTTGGGGTTTTTTGTACCCCATTCACATGTAGTGTCTTATTTTCTTTGTCAAAAAGTCCATAATTTTCTGATTAATGGAGTGATAAAAAGAGAAATCCAATAACCTCTTTGTAAGACCTTTGACTAATAATATGTAAACAAAATGAAACAAGAATTTTGAACCTGACGTCATCCACTGTTCAGATTTCTGTTCTGGAAATGTATGCAAATGAGTTCATATTTAATTAGATAATATTTCATTTGTATATTTAAACATACAATTTCAGAAAACTTGTTATACAAACAATAATTGTCTAATGTAAGCAATCAGCTGAGGAAGTTTCATGGTGATATCTATTAGTTAAAATATTTTAGCCTACTCACCTGTGTGTCTCCCCTGAGGTGTTACCTCACAAACTACATTATTGCTGAATGATTACATACATTATCTTTTAACAAGATAGGCATATGATGAAAAATAAATCCCAATAATAATGATGATCATAATCATAACCATAATAATGGTAATAATCCTGTCTAGCCTCATGGCATCCTAAAAAATGCAAAGCAGTCTGAACGTCTATGACCTTAAATTCAGCCTTTGATACCTGTTACAGCACACCCTTTGTGCTGTAAGTGAGGAGATATTAGACAACGTCAAAGTGGGGGACAATAACTATATCTGGCATGCTATCATATTCATAGGATAACAGTATATCTATGTGATATGTCAGTATTGCATTTAACATAAAACAGTCTAATAACATTTAATTCTAGCTTGTGTTAGGTTGCCAAATAAGCTTCATGAACCATTTTCTAGGACCACTAGATGGCACTCTCTGTTTATGAAAGGGTTAAAAGCACACTGAATTGCCATGCCATTCCTTGAGCCTTTTTCATTATACTAAGAGCATCATCTTGAGGGGTCTACAATACAACTAATGGTTCATGAAGCTTCATGGAAATCTTTAGTGTTAGGCGGAATTGGCTGGTTGCATTATTGATGATGACTTCTTGAAGGCAAAGTGCATCATGATGGATTGATTCCTGTGTGGGCAGAACACATGACATTATTACTAAATACTAGCAACATGGGATCTCCACATATAAGCCAACCTGGAGATTCAGAACAGTGCCTGAACGGGCAATGATTCAGTGAGCTCTGGAGAGATGAGATCTGGAGCACAAAACGTGGTTATAAATAAAGATTTTAATGAGATGCAGCAGCTATGTCTCAGTATAGGCACTTCTTAGGCGCTGCAGGTTTCTTTTATTTTCTGTGCAGGGAAGAATGGCAGGGACAGAGCTTGTGCTGGCTCACATGGATAAAAAGGAGAGGGTGCCAGTGATGGATGCAGTGATGACTATTAAGACTAGTCTGATAAATAGAAGTTGAGAAATAACCAGGTGAAGAACTTAACTAAACAAACAAGTTTTGAGAACTCAACCATACATAACAGCATGATTGATATTATAGTCATTAGTCTTAAGCTGGTGGCCAATCCCAGTGACTGATCTTCTTATAGGCATCATAGGTGGTCAACGAAGGCACCAACTAGGGGGAAGGTGGCAAAATTGTACTTAACAAAAATTTAAATGCAAGACTTTGCATTTTTTACAGATTTAAGTTAAAGATCGAAGATTTCTTTGTGCACTCAGTAGATATCTTTGCCTGCAGATTTGTTAAATTCCTTGTTAGTGAGCACTTCTCCTTTTCCAAGATTTCCAAGATTTCCATCCACCTGACAGGTGTGACATATCAAGATGCTGATTTCACAGCATCATTATTACAAAGGTGTAGCCTACCTTTGGATAGTCACAGTAAAAGGTCACTCTAAAATGTTCAGTGTTATAACATTATACAATGTCACAGATGTTTTGAGGGAGCGTGCCATTGGCATGCTGACTGCAGGAACGTCCACTAGAACTTTTGTCTTGAATGTTCATTTCATTACCACAAGCAGTGTTGCTTTGGCAGTACATCCAACCGGCCTCACAACTGCAGACACCATGTAACCACACCAGCTCAGGACCTCCACATCCAGCGTCCTTACCTGCAAGATTGTCTGAGACCAGCCACCTGAACAGCTGAGGCAATAATTGGTTTGTACAACAGAAGAATTTCTGCACAAACCATGAGAAACCATCACAGTGAAGCTCATCTCCATGATGGTCGTCCTCACTAGGGTCTCGACCTGACAGCAGTTCGTCATCATAACCAACTTGCGCTGTTGTGAGGCCGGTTGGATGTACCGCCAAATTCATGGAAAAGCCATTTGAGTTGGCTTATAGTAGCGAAATGAACCAAAAGTTTGACATCTGTGTCCTTATCGAACTGCACATTTTAGACTGGCCTTTTATTATGACCATCCCAAGGCACACCTGTGTAGTAAATGATGCTGTTTAATCAGCATCTTAATATGCCACACCTGTCAGGTGGATGCTTTATCTTGGAGAAGTGCTCATTAACACAGATTTTAAAAAATTTGCGACCAAGCTTTGACAGAAATATATCTGTTGAGTGCATGAGAAAAGTCTATTCAGAAAAAAAAATGTTTAGTATATATGGATAAACGGAGTCATTTCAGGGGGTTAAAGTAAATGTCAAGAAGGATGTTTTTAGGACAGAATAGAACAGGAAAAAGCCACAAGCTTTTCAGTAGATCCTCTGATAGAGTTTTTATCTGATGTGAGCATTTCTCTGCTCAAATTGCCCAAAGCACTAAGTGTCCCCAGTGTGCCTCTGAAAGAATATATAATTCATATGGAACTGATATCAACATATACCATACAAACCTAGAGGGTGTAGATTGGAAGTAAGGACATTGACCTCATCTGTAAATAGTTGAGTTTTTCTTTCTTCCTTTTTTTCTTTTGATGTATGTATTTTCCTGGTGGGACAAAGCTTCCATAAGAGATGAAACACAGACAGAAACTATTTGATTTGGTCTTAAACAGCAGAAAAGGTTAAAGTTAAGATTTCATAGGGTACAGGGTTATGTTTTCAGAAAATGCAAAAAAAAAACTCCATACCACGTGGAAAATCATTTGTTAAAATAACTGCATTGTAAAATATTGTGTGGGAGGAGGGTGAGACCTATAAATAAAACAGCCTATCCCAGTCCATGTGAGGCTGCGTGGAGCTCAGCTGACTGGATAAACAAAGGTTAAATTCAAATTTGCAGCAGGAGCAGCCTATGGAGCAGACAGACAGACAGATGCCTCCCAGCTTCCTGTCGTTCTGTCCTCCTCAGCAGACAGACAGCCGCATCGTCCTGCTCCGGCCAGAGGACACGGAGGAGGCTGCAGCCATGGAACAGCATCTTCCCATCAGGAGCACCGGAGAGGACGGGGCGGTGTCCCTGCCTGACTGAAGGTGAGTATCCTGGATGATGCCTCTGTTCTGTGGTGTTTTGGGACCAGTTGGTCGTAATATACCGGTTCAGTATTTAACCTTCATGATTCAGATAAGGTCTCATTGTGTGATCAGACGGCTTTGCTCTGGGTGATGGCAGCGTGCTCTCAGAGATGAAAATGACGGTGTGGTTTGGGTGTTATTGACTGGGTGGGGAAGATGATGCGGTGAATCAGCGTTACTGTAGGTGCCGGTACACTATAGACCTGACATACGTCGTCCCGTATCCTGCATATAAAATGACACGCCAAAGTCCATTGAAGAAACTCACTCATTTGTATGATTGTGACTTTTCGGATGTACACTTCCTAAATAAAATTAAACCCAAGATATTTCTGAAATGTATGGAGGCCACTGGTGAATTCGGCTTCATTTGATCCACCAATTTCCACTAATATCAACGCTGTAAACTTTAAAACATGCTCCACCAAAACACAGCGCGCCTCGCGTGACCAGGTGCAAACAGCGTGCTACTACGTGCTTAAAGTAGGGTAAATTACACAGGGATATGGTGATTAATGGACTCTGTGTGAGCCGAATTGAAGAGAAGCGCTATGTGATTGAATAAAAGTATTCAGACACTTTTTAAGAGTTTGGGAGCTACAGACAAGTAAAGCCGCGGCAGATTAAAACATTTCCGAATGAAGTCTGCTGAGAGTGATTAGCCGGTACTATAGAATGGGAGGACGATACCTTTACCATCAACTGTTAATAAAGACCAGTAGCAAGGAAGGAGTGGCGCGGCTGATGCTGTGTGTGTGTGTGTGTGTGTGTGTGGGGGGGGGGGGTACCAGTGTACAACACTGAAGCAGGCCCATTAATGACCTCTGAATAAGGTTGTGGATTCTCATTGGCAGTCATCCGTGTTTATAACATGGACAGTTCAGGAATGTAGACTAACCAGCCCCAGCCAGGGGAATAACTGCAAAGTTCCCAGCGATCCCACGGAAAGTTGATAATAATCAGATGCCACTTGCTATAGCCTAACTATTTCTGTCATCAGTTGTGATGTGGGAAAAGTGACCAGATCATCTGTGTTTATAAAAACACTGTTTTACACACACACACACACACACACACACACACACACACACACACACACACCTTTCTATCTATATCTGTCCATCTATCTATCTATCTAGATAGTATATACTGTATATATGTGTGTGTGTGTGTGTGTGTGTGTGTGTGTGTGTGCATTTTAGGTGGTAGCATCCATACTTTGGGAGTTCCCAAAGGAGACAAAAAACAAGAATGGGTCAGTCAAAGAGCACGTGCAAAACATCTTACAAGACAAGCTGATAGTTGATAGCTTCATTAAAGCCGAACAAGGAAGCAAGGGATTCAATTCTCCTAATTGACCACTTAGTTCATCTGAACAGTCACTGGTTGTTCCTTACACTTGCTATACAACCCTTTTCAAGCTGTTGCACCCAGCTTATGGAATGCTCTCCCTTTATCACTGTGATCCCTAGTTGCACACACAAATGTTAAGAAGTAATTAATAACAAAAATAAAACGTGCACGTGGATCTTAAGGCCTAATTGTGTATGGCACTTCAGTTAAGGGAAAAGGTATAGGATAAATGCATATATTTTAGTGATGTAATGTTTCCCAAATGTATGGTTCGGTTCAGTGCCACACAGTGGTGTCACTGTTTGGTACATTTTTTCAATACAGCAAATAAGTAGGAATGCCACAGAAAATTCCTGGATTTTTAACATTTTTAACTCACATCATAAAGTATGATGTTTTTTTGACTATGACGGTATATTTAGTTGGCATGTTTGAACTAGTCCCCCTGATGTAACGTACTGTCAAGTAGCAGATGCAACATAACTGTTGTTTTTTTTATCTACTGCTCTCTTGCCTTCACCCTCATAATTCAAAGAGAAACCACATTGGCTCCCAATGCCAGGCATGTAGTACATTGGAGGATCTTCTATTTCTGGGTACTGGTGTTACTAACCATCTGTCAATGAGCTTCCCAGTGTATCTCACAGGAGTAGAATGTTTTTGTTTGGTGTGGGGGGGGGGCGGCAGACAGTATGCTGCCTGTCACATGAGCTGCCTTGTTGAACACAGTGGCACTGAGACCATTATATTAAAAAAAGTTTAAATTTTTTATTTTATTTTCCAAATTCATTCAGACCAGTCATGCACGCAGTGCTGAACAGTAAGGCAAGGAAAACAAATTACATGCTGTTAGTCTGAGGTGATTCACTCTCTTAAGGTGTGAAGGATCAGGAAAACATTTAAAGGAATCTGAGATGTATGTATGTATGTATGTATGAAAGTATGGATTCCCTTTGTCCCTGTAAATTAGAGGCATGGTGGTAATAAAAGTCGGGATGAAGATGGTAAAATTAAAGCTGATGCTAATCTGCTGATGTATTGACTGTCATGGTGATTAGAGATATGAGTGGTGTTTTTAAGAAAATCGTGAAGCTGACGAAGTAAATGTTTTTACTTTTGTGTGTCTTAAATAGCACTAAACGTGGAAAGTTTAGCATCACTTCACACTTCAGATTGACAAATATTACTGGAGGGTGATTGTGCATTGACTTTCATTAAGACAGATCTTTTGGACAGTTAAAGCCTTGGAACAGACTGGAATCTTGGTTCAATATTTTAGTGTCGTATTTATTGCCTGGCAGGCTTTATTGCCCTTTCCATTAGGTGATTTCAGTAGCACAAAGGAGAGAACAGAGTGGACATGCCCATTAATAGCAACAGCCTTCTACAAACATACAGGAAGTAATCAAACCAAGGGAACCTTAAATATCCAAAAGCACCGCAGTAAATACTTATTAAAGTCACTTGATCCATATTTGTGACTTAAATGAATAAAATTAACTTGGCATGACTTCTTTTGTTAAGGTTATAATGTGACTTTCAATAGCTTGAGCTTAACACATACAGAGGTGTGATGGAACAGAAACTTTTAATTAACATTTCAGTTTGATAATTCACATTCACTGTAGAGGTTTGCTGCATCACTACAGCCAGCGGTGTTCATATAAAAAATTCAGTCACCCTGCCCTCCCTTCTCTCTGTCATGACGCATGCAAACTATAATAGATCCCCGTGATGTCAGAGTTCTCCGAAGTAATGATACCTTCACAAACACACACACACACACACACACACACACACACTGTACCACACATTTCTCATCCCTCCTTCGTGGTATCTCTTTTTCTTTATTTTTTTATGAGACTATATGCTGAGCGACACAATTCAGTCGTAAAGCACTGAACACGCATATACACACGTCACTGGGAGACAACCCTGTCGAGGTCATGATGATGCTGAGTCATCTCTCCGCTTCTTTCAGCTGTGTGTCTCTTTAAGCTGTGAGTGTGTGTAAGGGAGAGACTCTCAGCATCATACCTATCTGTGTCCTCTGGCATCTGTATCTTCTGTATCATCTCTGTCTTCACATCCATGGTCATCGATTAGATATAACAGGAAGTGATGCTTTACACATCTCTTGTAGTTTTGTGGTATTCATGTAGAGGTGATGGGTAATTTGTGGCAAGTGAGGACAGCAGGATAACAGTGTGGTTTAAGTGGTACTGAGTAGCTTTAATGCATGACAGGAAGCATCCTCGGTTGCTGCTGTTATGTATCATTATTATGCCTTTGTGACAGCAACAATTGTGGTGAGGGCATTATGTTTTCAGGTTGTCAGTCCATCCATCAATACGTATGTATGTATGTATGTATGTATGTATGTACATCCATCTGTTAATCTATCCGTCCCATTCTCATGATATCTCAAGGACGCCTTGAGGGAATTTCTTCAAATTTGGCACAAAGGTCCATTTGGACTCAGTGATGAACTGACTGGATTTTGGTGATCAAAGGTCAGGGTTTCTGTGACCTTGTCTGTCTCTTTCTTCTAAACGTGATATGTCAAGGATACCTTTTGGGAATGTTTTTTCAAGTTTCAAGTTTTTATCGTGTGACGAAAGAAAAATGTCTATCGTTTAATATTTTGCTCTATTGTTTATATCGTTGTAACGCAAAATACACTTTTTACGGCAATATTTTTCATCAGTTGGAGTCTGTCCATCTTTTGCACGGATCACATTGATAAATTACTTTTCTTGGCTTTTTAATTCGCGAAGCTTTTACGGCACTTAAAGTAACATAATGAGTTTATATAACTCCACCACTGTCTGTCTCAGACAACTCCGTCAACTTTTTATTCATTGGATTAAAATGTGCTATATCGTGATATGTATCGTTATCGGGATATGAAATGACCTATATCGTGATATGAGATTTTGGTCATATCGCCCAGCCCCACTCGGACTCAACAATGAACTGATTACATTTTGCTGGCCATAGGTCACTGTAACCATACGAAAGATGCATTTGATCATAACTCAAGAATTCATATGCTAAATACAATATTCACACAAAATGAACTGATGAGTAATTTTATATCGAAAAAGATCGAAGGTTACCATCACTGTGACATCATAATGTTCTGCAAAAACACTTTTCTGGCCACTATTCAGTGTCATATCTTAGGAACAGAAGGGGAGACATTTGGTCAGATACTGAAGTGGTGACTCTAATCTTGAAACTGTACTGATTGTATCTTCTGTGTGTGAAGCATCCATGTTTTCACAGACATGGATGTAAACTGTAAGTACAACTTGACTGGTTCATGGAGGCGGTAATTCTGTTATACAATTAAGCAAGTGACTGATAGAATAGTTTTAAATGGGGTTTTAATTACACTTAGTTCCCCACTTAGCCCCACACTGACAATTAGGGCTTTTCAATCGGCACTTTTGGCCATGCCAAGTCAAACCATGCCTTGTTGATTTATGTTTCCATTACCAGTTTAAATGTGTCAAGTAGCTCCTACGAAGGAGGAAAGTCAGGTCAAAGCTTGCCCGACTACTTCCAAGTGGGTTGGGTGATGTCAATCGGGCTTTGTCAAT